CTTTTGTGCTTGGTTAGTGTGCATGCTTAAATGAAACCTTCTAGGAATTGTTATAAACCTTAGAACTTGCTTAGAAGTGGGCACAGCTCTGTAGGATAACTTGCTGCCCAGGATGCCCTGGTACAACCTTTCTGTGTTCCCTAAAATTAAAAGTTATAGACATGTATCTATTCAGAAGTTGTGGCAGATTCATGAAGATGCCAATATGGGCATTCTTCATGAATCTGTTGTTACTCTCAGGTTTTAGAGAACAGTGTTTTACAGGAACAGTTTTGAATAAAAATCTCAATTTCCTATCCTTCTTTTCCCTCCCAATAGTTTGCTACCAGAAACATTAATTGGTAGTAGGTGCTACATCCATCTCTTGGTATTTTATCGACAAATACTTGGTGACGCCCTCCTGAAAGACAGAATAAGCATGCAAAATGCTGGTAAGAATTACTGTTGTGGAGAATAGCTTCAACGTGGCAACTGTGTTGACTTCAGCAAGAGGAAGATGAGGTCCTCAAAGAGGATTATTCTCACCAAAGTTTCCCCTTCATAAGACTGGAGAGGGGCCTGCAAGGGAAGCTCTCACCGGGATGGGATGTCATTAGAGTTGTGTTCCCTGGTAGTGCTGGCCTCGAGGTCTGACCATCTCACGTGGTAAAGTAGTTACAGTCCCTATGTAGAGGGTCAGAATTCAACTTTCAGTCTGCAGGTTAGGGCAATAGGAAGCCTCTTGCCCCTATTGATGGAAGAAAACAAGCTCCCCCTGTGGCCGCTGGCACTGCCTCCCGTGGCTGTGTTTGCATTTCAAACCAGTGATATTCCGATGTGCCTCTGAGGAGTTGCTGTGTGTGACTTCAGTTCCCACAGCAGAATGCAAAAACTGCCGGAATGTTTCCGTTTGCTGTGGGGGGTGAATGAAGTGTTTACAAAAAGACCAGCATCAAAAAAAAATTACACGTGGAGTGGATAGATAAAGGGATAAAGGGATTATTTGGAAATGTTTCCTTTTCACCATGAGAGCTTAGATGCTCACAGAGGCCTGCTCATTGATTTCTAGCAAATGTTTGTTCTTGGGAGCAATGGAAGAGACCAGGCACGTTCCTCCCCAGGAAGAGGCAGGAGAGGTGGAAAAGCCCTGGCCTAGAACTCTGCCTCTTATTCCTTCCACCTCTCTCTTCCAATAAAAGGATTGTAGTTTATATTGTCTATTTTAAAATCACATTTGAGATACAGCAAATTTGCATTCCTAAACTGTGCAGTAGGTGAATTATATCAAAACTGCCAAGTAATTCCCTAATGTGGTTTTTCTTCTGTCTCGTGTCCAGACTGGATTATATATCAACTATGTCTGAGGTGAAAATATGTACGAATGCACATGCTAACTTTTTAAACCTACCATCTCTAGCCATATTTAGGTATCTAAATTACAGGTTAATCTTTCAAAGGTGACCAGAAGAGCTCCCATCCTGATTTTTATAAATATGAATATAAATTTATATATATTCAATGAATCATCAGCGGGAAATGGAAAATGTTTAGTTTTTAAAGGTCCAAGAACCACTACGCTTACTTGATTTGATCATTATAATGAAGGCTAATATATAAAGATGATGACCTCTGTTGGAGTTGCACTGCATCCATTTTGGTTCAGCCTTGATTTAAAATGGTAGAAACTTTATCCCAGTACTTCAGAAGTTGTTCTAATTGCTAAATGTCATCACTGTTTTCTACTTTTTTTTCTGATGTAACAAGAGATTGCTTCCATTACTTAAAAATCAACTAAAACTTGGGAAATAGGCAATTTAAAGTCACTGCTATATTCTGCAAAAAGCAGTTGGTTCTGCCTTGCTTCCTTTAAATGTTTTATTATTAGTAAACACAAATTGTTGACTCAGCTTTTGATCAGCTCGGACATGACGAAACAGCAGTGTGCCTTAATAGTTAAAATCACAGGAGAAAGAAGACCCAAACACAGCCAGGTTAAGGTAAAATAGAAGAGTGTTTATTCATAACAGCCAAAACAGGCAGCACAATGTCGGATGTTTATGAAAAAAAGACAGGTGCCAAAATGAGGCAGGAGGCGGGGAGGATCCTAAATGATCTTTAAATGTGCCTTGTTTGTTTGTTTCTTTCAGATTTAATATGTAATCCTATTTTAGCAACTTTTCCCCAAATCATGGATCAGCCAGACCTGATAGATGCACTTCGGGTACGTTATCTACCTAAGGTTCAACACACATCAGGGCACCAAGGTAGTTTGCAAAATTTGAGCTTTTTTATCCTATGAAGTGATCAGCAAGAGTTAAATCCGTTCTGCTAAAAGGACACTACTGTTAAAACTCGTCAGTATTTGGAGATAAGCTATATATTTTTTTTTTCCTTCGGAAGTATTTAGTCAAGTTTATCTGTCATGTGTGAAACCGCATGTTTGATAACATTGGTTATTTCCTCCTCTTTTTGGATAGCAATCAAACAAAGGTTTTAAAAGTTCTACATAGGTTTTGATGATTTGCATTTTTCCATGTTACATTGCATTCAGAAGGTTGGATGATGTAAAAAATAATACATGCTTATGGGGTAGAGAAGGTCAAGCAGGGTTATGAATGACTGTTCTAAACAGCAGATCCCCTTGATTTCATTTATGTTGCCCTGACAGTTGCAAATCTCAGGATCCTTCTATCTGTAGCATGAGGTAGAAGGGCTGTTTGCTTAAATTGCCTCAAAATGCCTAAAGTGACAGGAACGAGGAATATGAGGCAAGTGAGATTGCAATAAGAGAGGTTTTTGCAGTTAAGAGTGAATCTTCTCTCATCTCTGCAGCTGGTCTGCTGTAACGTTTTTACCTTTGCATTTTAGAGCGCTTGGGCGGATAAAGAACAAACTTTGAAGAGATCAGAGAAGGTAACATCTGGAGGGTCTTTGATATATATGGGATCTAATTCAAAGCAGAAGCTCTCTGCCAGGGGTTTTGCTAGTTAACTATCCCTCTCACCATAGATACACTTAGTAAATGTAGATATGCTAAATGCACTTCTCGACGTTTCTTACCTGTACAAAAGCAGCCATGCAAATCCACAAAATCTTTCCACCTCTGAGCCCCAGTCCCTCCACATTCTGATGGCAGAAAGGCCTCCAAATTCTCTAATCTCCCTACTGCAAACAGTTGTAGCCTTCCATTTCAGCCACACAGCCATGTCGGGATTGCTTGTGTCTCCTCCTATCTGCTGAACAAAGAGAGAAAAGTTGTTGATTCTAGGATTTACCTATTTGGGCGTAACAGAAGGATATTTCATTCACAATACATGCTAGTGAATAGGTACATAAGGAGAGTTATGCAAAACGCAAGCCCAAAAGCCCTTGCATCAGAAGAGCTTTTTTCAAGATTATTTATCTGAAATTAAAGTCGATCTGCTCAAAGAATTAGTAGCTCCTCGGGCTCCGGGAACCGTCCGGTTTTTCATGATCGGTGCTGCTCCCAGGACGGGATTGCTGCCTGACAGCTCGTTCTTTCCTCCCTACCTGCTTACGTGACACCCAGCTGCTGAATCACCCGCTGAGACGGGAACCATCCGTCCTCCGGCGGGTGCGTTGGAGCTCCCGAGGCAGGGAGCAGTCGTGCACGTCCCCCGGGGCCCCTGCAAACAGTCTCTTAACTTGTGCGTGCACTAGTATCAGGTGAAGAAATACCCCCAGCCCTGGGCACGGGGCTCTCGGTAACCTTTCTCCAGGTTGCCGTTTTATAGTAACGTTGGCAGCACAAGGTACTTAGCGCAAAGCAGCAAAAAGGGGCCAAGATCTCCTTTTAGATTTGCAAAAGCTTGAACAGAAACCATTTGGAAGCAGGGAGGTTTTGAGGGCAATTTGATTGCATCAGAGGCCTCAGGGTTTCCATAGTAATAAATCTTCATCCAACAAAATTATGTCTAGAGCAAAATTATAGCCAGGGAGGGCTGAGGGAGCTGTTACTTAGATTACTAAATATTTCACAGCATCACAGAGTGGTTGAGGTTGAGACTTTGAGATCTAGTCCAACCCCCCTGCTCAAGCAGGGACACCTAGGGCACATTCATTCTACTAATTCTAAAATATTTAATATTTAAACATCAATAAAAGAAGAAAAGCGCATTCACACTTCACTAGTTCTTTACAATTCCAACATTCTAGTATATTGTTTCATCCATTCATCTAACCCAAATTAAGAGTCTTTTACAAGAGACTTACTTGGATGAAGATGGATTTAGTCAGATGATTGCTTTGTAAAAAAAATAAGTGGTTCTGTAGGGTGTGAAAACATCCCAGCTGACCATCTGTGGTACAGCTAAGGCAAGATCAAGTTCTGTTCAAAACCAGTTTCTCTTAGTGTAGCTGAGTTATGTCATTAACTAACTTAGAGAGTTGAGTGTTGTGTCTTGGAGTTTAATGGGGTATTGAAGCAGGAGGAACATACATGGATCACTGAGATGGAGTGGCAAACTCCAGTAAGGGATTATGTCTGAAAAACAGGGATCAGGATGGGGAGGGGACCTTTTGCACGCTGTGAAGCTCGTCTTCCATTTGGGTGGTTTATTCGGAGTTCCTTGGCGGTTTATTCCAGTTCCCTGGGGAAATGCCTCACGTGGAAAAGCCTTTGGGACTGACAAGGCAACCGGCGTTGAGCTTCCTCCCGAGCAGATGTGGTGGCACCTGAGCATCTGGCTGTGTGTCACTCGTGTGAGTGAAACAGTACGTGGATGGGAGGTAGCTTTGTTAACCTGCAGGCTTGTTGTAGCTCTGGTGAGGAGCTTCAGGCTCCTCGGGACTCAGTGGCATTTGTTTAGTAACACTCAACCTCCCGTTGTTGTTGCAGGAATGGGGATTAGCTCAATGCTTTGGGGGATTCTTTTTTTCTACTGTGTCCATACAAATCTCTGCAGAAGTGCTTGGAAGAACAGCCTATCTGCACTGCAGTTTTTAAAAATATTTTTCTTCTTTGCAGCGAGACCGGGAATTTGTGAAGTCTCAGTTTGTCCTGGCGTACCACGACTCTGTCTTTCCTCTCCTCCAGTCCACTCTCCTCCCCAGTCCCAAGTGGGCTGAGGAAGAGACCGAAGCTTCTCGCTGGAAGGTGATCGCCGAGTTCTTGAAAAGGACCCGGGAGAACGATGGTGCCCTTCAGTTCTTGCTGTCATCAGAAAACTCCCACAAAGCCTTTGATATCTCAGAGCTGACTTACGATTTCTTAAGAGAAACTAGGAAAAACAGCCCTCCGGGATGATGGATTACAGAACAACAACACGGGGTAAAAAACAAATAAGTAATAACGTAAATGCATTCTCATAAACAATTTGTGCCTCTGCAAAACACATTTTGTATGCTTTTTTTTAATACACTACCTGAATTGTAATAAATATTTCAATATGCATTATCACTAACATTTGCAGAGAGTCTAAAATAGTATTTTATCACTTCAGGTAATCAAAACTATACTTAAAGTTTTCCACCTGGATGCGGTAGACAAGGCTGTAGTTGGCAGCCGGGTGTTGCAGGGCACCTAAGCTGAACAACACTGAGGCAGCACCCTTCTCATGCAGCCTCCCATTAATTTCTAATTATTTTTAGTCAGTGTGTGTCCTGAACAGAATGCTCTGTCACAGCAGCTAGGGAAACTGGTAGTAGTCAGTCAAGGAAAATAGCAGTGATTTTTAAGAATGCTGTTGAGCAAGGTCATCCAGTGAGTAAAAAATCCCCTCTTGTCCAATCACTGGACAGTAGGTCGCTCTTTATTTAGACTGTTTTAGTGTTTTCCTTACCCACTCCGAGAAGGTTGGGTTCTTCATAGGAATGTGCTTCACCCATGCAATACAAATAGAAGCTGGTGGGAATCTGCGGTGTCCCTCGTGCGTGGCGATGCCAGCATGGCGGGGACGCGGGGGGGCACGTGGGGCGGTCTGAGCACACAGTGGGAGGCAACAAGAAGGAAAATATTCGAGGTGGGAAGTAGTGAAGGGGACAAAATTTCAATGCAGGAAACGTTCCTGCCCCAGCATGGTCTGGAATGGGTCTTGGAAGGTGCCCCGTTTTAGCGGGGTTTGTTATTAAATTTTTCCTTCTCTTCCCTCATTGAGACCCTCGGCACTGCTGGCACCTCTCGGATCGCTGCCGCTTCCCGGCCCCGGGAA